GTGCCCCCAGTACGTGCATGACCAGGTTGTTGTTGCTTTCGTATCCGCTCGAGAAGGCCGCGATTGTCGCGTTAGTTTCGAGCATGGTTGGTAAGGTGTTATTGGTCCAGTCATTGTCGTTGACGAGTGTGAGATGGATGAGTGAGCCTGTCTCAGAAGTATAGAACATGGCCATCCTCTTCGTGGTCGCGTTGGTATAGATGGGAATCATAGACATCCCGGTACCCTCTGCAGGCTTTCCAAAATCGGTCGATATGCCCACGGCGGCCCAATCTGTCGCTCCATCGCCTGTCCGGCGGAGAACACGGATGGTATTTCCAGCGTCTTGATATAGAACAAGGTTCGATAGGTATGAGTCGGGGGTATAGATGCCGTTAGACAGCAGATTTGACTTCGCGTTCGCAGTAAAGGTGTTTGAAACGCCGGATTTATCCCACGACGAGCCGTAAACGGGATTGGCATTGATGATGCCTGCAACCTGATTCGCTTCGTTGAGGTAGTAGATACGGACATCGCGGACCTGGAGAATAGGGTTAGCGTTGATCACACGCATTTGAGTAGCTGAAGGGATAACGGAAGCTTACCTTACTGCTATGCCAGAACAAGCTGTTGGAGATGGGAGTACCCTCCTTGATCGTGCTCTCCCTATTGGCAATTGTTGAGCTCCAAACTTTCGTTGAAGAATTGTAGGACGACATCATGAGGTTCTTAGACCGCAGCTGGTAGAACACGAGGTGGTTCACGTAGCCATAGTAGTCTGTGAAGTTGAGCGCGCCAATGCTACTGGTGGGCAGGATATCCAGCTCATTCGTTGTCGTCGTGCTATTAGAATCGCCGCTGCTATCACCACTGCTGTCGCCGCTTCCACTCCCACCGCCGCTGCCGGTTCCTGTACCGCTGCTGCCGCTTCCGCCGCCGCTTGATCCTCCCGAGCTGCTGCTTGATTGTTGCGAGCTGTTGCTTGCCGACAATGCGCCACCGACGCCTCCTCCTACTGCAGCGCCAATGACAATAATGAGCGCCACGGCTAGAACGATCCAGAAGGTCTTGCGTCGCATGCCGCATATTGTGCCCACCCTCTTCTTCTGCTGCTTCTCGTCGATCTCTGCTGTCACGACCTCTGGCGGGTTGTCTTCTTTCGGAGCGTAGTACCCGCTTGAATCATATGAACCACTTTGATATTCGGCTGGTGAGACGCCGCCCTCCGCCGGGTGAACGGCCTGGAGCATAGAGTAATCATGGCCGTACGGGTGCACGGCTTGTGGAAGGTCGCCGTCATGGTTGTCAACTTCGGGCAAGTTATTCTGGTCCGCGACACGGAACTTGCTCAAGTCCTGATCGCCATACCCTCCCGGCGATCGGCCCGGTCGGCTGTCTACCTCAAGGCCGCTGTAGTACTCCGGCGGAGACGCATTGTTGTTGGGAGTCGTCATGATGCCGCGCTCATTGCTCAATCGCGGAGCAAAACGGGACCAAGAACATCCTCAGCATGCAAAGGGAGGAACAGATGCAAGATTTAAAGAATGGGAATCCAAACCCAAGAACCCGGAGGGGAAGACCACATCGTTATGGTTCTATGGAGCCCCATATCGACAGGCCGCAACGTTGAGCGCCAGAGATTGTGGATTATCGTCGGGACTTTGGCTCTTCTCGAGGAATTCATGGCAGTTGACTGGCGCCAAGCGGCGGTAAGGGGTCTGAAGGATTGGAATCCCTGCTTATGATGGAGCCCTCCAAGGCAGGTCCTTTCTGAATGAGGATAAGCGCTGACGGGGGCTCCATTTGTGGTGGAGCGGGATCCCGCGAATGGCTTCCGCTTAGGTGCCCGCTAGCTTCGGTTGTGGGATTAGCATAATCAAAAAAGAGGGCCATTAGATGGCCTTCGTGGGGTTGCAAGTTCTCAACAGCGGGCCAAAGGGGCTGGACTCTGGTGATGATTCCTTCTCTCCGGAAACAGATCCATGCCATCGCGTGGTTCTGGTCCTTCGAAGATCCTTCAAGGCTTCATTGGGCTCGAATTGGCGAAAGCTGAAGTTGGGACGGCCGCTGTCAGTCGCGGGTGTGGCAAGGCGCGAAATTCTGGAGGATCAAACCCATACACAACCTGACAACACAGCCAAGATCGATATTGTTGAGTTGAAACTCGGGTGCCTGGAAAGCCAAGATGCGCGAGGTGACAGACGTTAAACTGGTGAATCTCAGCCTCAAAGGAGCGTCTGCCTTGGATGGAAAATGTACATTCGTAAGTAAAGTCTTTTGTGTCCATACGCGAGATGGATAAACACGACCGAAAAAATTGAATCCTGCATCATAACTCCTCTGAAGGCCTGTAGGAATAATGCTGCCTTGGATCACACGTCGCTGTGGGGTTGTCCAGCTCGCAACATACAAACAAAGACGTTATTTCCGAACGAACTCCGTCATTCCCGCAACAGATCCAGTGCCAAGTCGCGTTGATTTCATAGATGACAATCTCGTTATTTGTTACGCCGTACATCCAGAGCATTGACCTCGTTCCGTTCGCATCGTGCTTGATGCGCAGCGGCAATCCATGGTCTAACGATTAAGTTATCGGTCTCAAGTTTGCGTGCAAATACCGATCATCTGCTTCCGCGACTACCGACCTTTTCTTGGGTATGACGCTCTCGGTAGTGAATTGATACACAAGGCGTCAAGGACAACTCTGATTGGTGCTTGAAGAACCTTCCGGCAACAGACAATACTTGTTCAACCTACTTTCTTAACGAGAACTGCTCATTTTGCAGTTGTTCAACCTGGGCTCAAGTTTGTAGTGCATATGACAGTCTACGACCTTCGGTCCTATACCTTTGATCATGATATCTTTCTATTCAACTTTCTGAATGCAAAGCGAGTAATCCCGACTGTCTATGGGTCACCGGAAAAGCCACCGCGGGCTCATCTCGTCTTCATGTCTATGGCCTCTACTTGCCGCCTTGATACACGCGACCACATCTCCAAAGTGAAAATTCTTACCCACAATCCCCGGACCGTAGTGAGCATATTTGGCAGAGTTTGTCATAGCGTTTCTTGCTTTCAGAGGAACGACCGGCTCCTCTATCATGCACCAACACGTATCCGTTATCAGCCGGGCACCGAAGTTCTCGATAACGTCTAGATAGCCGAGGTTCAGGGCCTCTGTGTATGTTTCACGGCCAGTGGTGATCATGACTTCGACATTAGGTGACTTGTGTCTGCCGCGGCACACTTCGGCAAGTTGTGAGAATTCTTCTAGGGAAAAGTGCGGATTTCCTAGGGAGACGATATCGACAGAAGGGTCCGTAGCCGTATTGAGCTGTCTCCAAGCCCACTGAAGTTCAGGAATTGTCACCTCGATGGTTTCTAGAGTGGTGAGTGCATCTCCGAAACTTGCAGCCTCCGGCTTGATGCCATTGATGTGAAACATAGGAGCAGATGAACTTGTTGCGAACCCCGCCCCGAATGCCTTCAGATCCGATATGGTCGGTCGTGTCGTCTCCATTCCAATGACAACAGGGATCTTGGCGGCGACCACATGTCCAATGCTGTAGCCAATAAGAGCGAAAAACGATGGATCAAATGCGCTAATTTGGGTGACCTTGACTATGACTTCCGGCTTCCTGCCCTCTGGCACATGACACCCGGCATAAGGAGCCCTTCCGGTCAATGCGATGAAAACGTCCATATAATCAGGATACTTCTGTGTGTGTGCTCCCAGCACACTGTTCGCGAATACTACGGCATTGGACTCAGACCATCCAACTTGCTCTCCGGCTCTAGGCTTACTCTCGAGCAAGTACGGAGCGCAGGTGAAGCTCATCTTGGCGCCCAGCTTGAGATACGTGTCTCCAATCTTGTCAGATATCTGAGAGATCTCGGGGTTGGCTCCCAATTCCTTCCACCTCTGCCGGTCGACATTCAGGGAGTTGCAGGTCGATGGTACGACAAATTTTCCTCCGAGGGAGAGCAGGCGCTCAGGGACGAGGAGACTGCTTTCGCCAACGTAGGCACAAGCGTCCACATGGACTTGAGAAACATCAATCAGGCGTTGTGCCCCCTGTATCGTGGCGTACTTAACGATGATTTCCATTGCGATACGAGAAGCTTCGCCGCCCTCGCCAGACAAGATGGCTTTGTCTGTTGGATTCAACTCTAACGCCTTTACGCTTTGTGGCACCAAGTCAATCTTGTGGCCGCCTGGTGAAACCAACAAGCTCGTTTCGTTTATTTGCACTGTCGAAGTTTGACGGAAGACTTCAAAGTGCGATGCGTCTGAAAGGAAGACAATCGGAATGCGCTTGTCGAACATCTTCTCGGCAACTAAAACTCCCAAGGTGAGAATCATCTCCACGTCCCTGAAGATAAGGGCTGCGGGTGCATTGCCGCAAAGTATCAGCTCTGCGATTGCGCTGCTGCCGGAACAGGATCCGCGACCAGCAGGGATGACGAGGACAGAGTCTTTGAGAGATGTGCCGCGGAGGGGATGGTGTGCATCTGCGACGATGCCGGTCTTTGAGTCGACACCCATCATGAAGCTGAGCGGGACATCTGAGAAGATGACCTGGCCCCTGGCATCGCCCGGAATGACGGCAAGTGCCTGGCTTGGGTTTGGCACCATTGATTCTGCAAAGTAATAAGGAACGTCGAGTTGTTGGCCAACGAAGAGGAAGTGTGAATCTATGGGGGACACACATGAAGATTTGTAGTTCTAAAGATCCCTATGATGTAGCTTCATTGAGAACGCGTTAGGTAAGCCCGGAAACCCGTGCCATTTCGGCTTCCCATGTTGCTACTCCCTTGCCGATAAGCGGCTCGGGAAGGTTTCCGCGGCCAGCATTCCGCGGCGACCCCTCACCGGCTTTCCGGGAATGACGCCGGCCCGGGACCGCAACGGCTTCGTCAAAGGTCAATAAAGCCAAATTTCATACCCTCATATTGCGAAGAACTGCAATTAACTGGACAAACTGGCATGATCGGCGCGCCTTGTGAACATTTTACTCCTTCTAAGTTGCCACGTTGTTCGCGATATACGCCCACTCCATATCCTCCCAGCCTGGCCTCCGCCGAATCCTCGCAAGCATGTTCTCCTGAACGCTCGTTAAGGGTTTTCCAACAGCCTCAGCCAGGTTGTTATTGATCTGCGGAACTTCAATCCTGTCACCAGCCAGAGTTTCAATCTCGAATCCTAGCACCAACGCAGCCATCGCCCCCAATATTTCCGCGTCGGCAAAGAAACGTCCGGGACAAAGGTGTTTACCGCCACCGAAAGGGTTAAAGGCGCGGTTTTGCGCCCGCTCTCGTTCTCTGTCTGCGGTCATGAACCGCCGCGGATTGAATTCGTGTGCATTGTCGCCCCACGCGTCGGGGCCAAAGTTGGTGATGATGGCAGGGATTTGAATGTTTGCACCCTTCTTGAGCAGGTAGGTCTTTGTTTCGCCGCCTTCTCCGGGTGGTGTGTAGCTGATCAATGTGTCCTCCACGACACGGCGTGTACCCGTCGAGCGATTTGTCAGGCGCATGACTTCCTTGTAAGTAGACACTAGCAAGGGGCACTCTGTACGGAACTTGGCAACGGTGAAAGTATACTTCCGAGACGGGCGGCTCCCGCTGGCATCGCTGTCTTGCTGTATCACAGCAAGGGCAAGAAGCTCCTTTTGCAAGTCTGCAACAAGATCGGCATCGCGGAACACATAACACATCATCCAGAAGAGTGTAGGAATGGCATTGGTGACGCTCACGAAGAGCATTCCGAACTCGTGGTCTGCGATGTCGTCAATGGGCAGACCCCATTTTCGGTTGACTGCCACGCGCCGCTTGACGACACTGCTGGCATCGGTGATGTGATCATAATCTTCGCGGAAGTATTTTCGAAGAGCCTTTTGCACCTTGGCACGGCCGTTATATGCCTTTGATACTGTGATAGAGGGTAGCGGTTTCATGAGTAACTCCGCTTGGCCACCATCATAGTCCCTTTATTTGACGTTGTAAGCAGTCAATCCCTGGGACTCGAGAGCCTGAGAGATGCAACTTACCATAGATTCTTGCTCAACGTCATATCCTGCATCAAAGAGTTCTTGTCGCCGAAGAGGGAGCCCACTGTGGCCATGGTGAAGGAGTCCCTGAACCACATGTACAGCTTCTTGGTCTCGTAATCAGGTCCGATGGAGTTGATGGTCTCCGAGATCTTGTTTAGGACGTAGGTGTTCATCTCCTGTAGGTCAGGACCAGGAGCCAGGGGCGCAAAAGATGGATGTTGGTCCTCAATCCACGAGACAGAGCCATCGCTTGGTGGGTTGTGGAACAAGTCCATGACATTTGGTCCTAGACCGACCATCTTCTGTGCGAACTCCGCCATCACCGGGTAAAGATTCAAGGATTTGTTTTTCATTGCAACCTGGATCAGCTGCGGCGCCGTAATGATGTATATCTTCTCGGATCCACCCATCGAGATGGAAAAGATCGGAAGTGTTGCATTCTCAAGGCTAATACGATGTCATCAATCAGTATTTTGGCTCATCTTGTCACATTGAACTCGTGTACTGAATGTTAGACTTCAATGACTTGGCTTTCTACGTACCCGAGTTGACGATAGTATTTTTGCCTCGACCCTAGTAAGCCAATGATGTGGCCGACAAGCGGTATTTTGGGCTTCACTTCTTGTGGCTCTCTTGAATCTACAGACTTGGTCCGCGCTTGGCTTCCGCCGACAAGGAAGACGACGCCCAGAAAAAAGAACCACAACAAGCCATTGCTGTCGCCAGTAAATAAGGTATTTCTCAAGTCGGACAACGCCATGATGATTGCGGCGTTGAGGTGAAGCTGCAGAGCATCGAGTAGTGCGCAACAACAAGACGCGCCGTGCTCCTCTACTGTGAAGGACGCGCTGATGGCGATGATGCCACAACTAGAGGTAGAGTGGAGCAAGAGTGAGGCCAGGTTTGTAATGCTGAAAACCCCGATGGCCGGAATTAGCGAATGTTACCCTGACTTTTTAGTCTGGGCGTAATCCACTTCAGACTTCGTCTAGGCGGCAGCGCGAGGGTGTCATCTTCGGGATCATCTTCGGAGGGATTCGGCCAAGCAGCCACAACCGCTGTATCTTAGTTCGCGCGAAGGATTGCACTACCGTCACTGAGGTACTACGATACACATGCATGATGCAGAACGATATCTGTCTTCCTGGACTACCCTTACCGTTGCTTCCGTGTCTTTGAAATGTGCTCCGTACGGTGGATGTGCAGATCGCGGACACGGTGACCGAATTTGAGCACAGTGCGTCGTTTTAGCGCCTTAATCTAGATGCAGGATGACACGAACTTGCCCAGACGTGCCAGAGACAGTGTTTGCTAGGGTCCAGTTAATCGAACATGTATGGGCCCAATCAATACATGGATCATGGCTTGATACAGTCTACACCCTGTACCCATTCTGCAAATGTCAGCACTAGAGATTATGTCTCGGTGACTCGGTCTGCTCACTGAGCGAACATCGTGAAGATTGATGTGCCATCATGGTGAGAAATCTTTGAACCTCAGTCAGGACTGGCAAACTTCTCCTTGCATTTCCTTGGGCTCTGTAAACTCAACATGGTTCAATCAGACAAAATCCCTTTCTCGGAAGTCTTTCCATGGGCCACCTTCCGCCGACAGGCAAAGGCGGACCTTGCACCACCTACGACGAGCTTCGAAGGAAAGACAGTCCTCCTAGTTGGCGCCACCGGCGCAATCCTTTCAGAAGCGGCCCGCATTATTACCAGCCTCAGTGTCTCAACTCTCATTTTGGCAGTCCGAAATGTCGCAAAGGGCGAATCCTTGGCTGATGAACTGAGGAAAGCAATCGAAGAGGGCTCTCGCCAACAGCCAAAAATCACGGTGATGGAAGTAAACCTCTTATCCTTTGATAGTGTTCAGACTTTTGCGACCAGAATCAACGAAACACAGAACCGTATCGATGTAGTGGTCATGGGTTCTGCTATCATGAATGATGAGACTAGAGTGACGGCAGATGGCTGGGAAGAGAGTGAGTTTCAGCTGTTAGATTCAGCTCCCTCAACCGCAACCAATGCTGTCTTTACGAGGTCAATGTCCTGACATGGATTCCTCTCATCTAGCACTGCAACTGATTCATATTTCATCGGCGCTCCTGATTTTACTCCTCTTTCCCAAAATGCTAGCCGATGGAGAAGCTCAACCAGTGGTGCTCTGCAGTCTAACCAGCGCAGCAATCCGCTCCGCAGCCCCGATGGTCGAGCTCCCAGATGATGCTAAGGACTGCTACCTGGAGCAGGTCAGTAACGTCAAAGACGCTGCTACACAGAAGAGCTACCAGTATGGGCTTGCAAAGATCATCCACGCATGCTGGATCAGGGAGCTCTGCGCACGCCATCTTACCGGCAGTAATCCGAGGATTCACGTTCACCAGCTGGATCCGGGTGCCTGTTTCACGCCACTCAGCTCACAAGTTTTGATCGGTCGGCTGCTGCTTTGGTTCATTGGTCGACCCGTAGAGATGTGTGCACGAACTGTGGTGAATTCATGCCTACCACTGATAGGATCGCATGGGAAGTTGCTGGTTGATTACGATGTTGCTCCGTAAGTTCAGATCGTCGCCCTCATTTTCTGAGAAGTTACACGGTCCGTGATCTTTTATATTAGACGCGGCGGTGGAAACATTGCACTTTTGCTAATGAATTTGCCATGGCATAGGTACCCTGAGTTCATGGACAGGTAAGTCTGTGACTACTACGGTCTCAGAGAACTGTCGAGAAACCTATGTTCCAGCATCAAAAACATTAAGAATCATAAACCCTGGAACGAAGTAGAAGCTATGCTAATACTTATTGATAATGGCAGGACACTCGGATTGGAACTTCAGCGGAGGGTCTGGCTAGAAACTAGCCAGGTCTTGGAGAGCTTGGTCACCCCTCAAGCGAAAGGTTTCCTCTTTGGCCAAAGTTCGTGACCGGGTTGCCACGTTACATGAAAGAACATTGGAGTTTTGCATCAAGGGAAAAATTGGTTCTGCGATGATAAAAATTGGAACTAGATGTACGGATGTGCCAGAGCAATATATGTCCAAACAACTCTTTCGATTGAAAAAGAATTGCTACATCGAGTTCCTCACCTCAAGCCCCTTTCCTGTGCATCCACCAAACTCAATCGTGCATTTGAGCAAATATGCTTATATTTCAGTGGATTCTGGCTTGAGATCACAGGTGGAAGTCAGAGCAGCGTCATCCGGAGTATTAAGCTTAGGTGGTCGGTCGCAATCCACCATCTCTATGTAGGTCCCCGCAAAGAACCCTCCTGATATGCGGCGTTTATCTGGGGCTGGAAATTGGCACCGTTAAAAGGAATCTGAGTCTTCTCATACTAAACGTCGGTGACGGCATCTTGGCCGAAGCTAGTAGGGACTCACAGCTGATCAGGGTTCGGTCAATGATGTTTCCGTCGTCGGCGCCCTTGAAGGCCGCGATGACGTTGTCGTAAATTTCCATCTTGGGATATGTTGTCATGCTGAGGCCAACACTTGGGCCTCGGAAAGAAATTCCACTGGGGGGTGGATGGCGTGCCCCAGTTCAGATGATCAGCCATGTTCCAAACGCCGACCGGCCAAAAACCCGTGATATCCTTCTCCTTCAAACCTCATCGATTAACCCAGACTACCATACTGGAGTGGGGTGGGTCAATCAGTCTCAGCGGTTCTTTTAAAAGATCGGTTAATACGGAGGAGGATATAATGCGGACCGATCGGGGAAAGATATAAGAGGAATTCCCGATCAGATATAGAACAAGAGAGTAGCGTACCTTTTCACTTTAATCAAAGATAGACCTTTAAGGATCGAACTTAGGCTTTCTCTAATAATTTACTTTCGAACGTGATAACATAAGACAATTGGACAGTCTACCCTTCTGATTAGCTACTCTAATATGTCTGATCGGGAGACTTATTTCCCCGTATTCGGGTCAAATTTAGGCTGATCGAAGGGGGTATCTTGTGTTGCTTTAGTAGGTGTTGGTGGTTTCCTTGAAGCACTGCACCGCTAGAGTCCTTTCTACCCTACATAGTTTCAATACTATCTTAGTAATGACGAGATGCTTTGTCTTTTTTCCCTGTCGGCCTAGTGAACCTAGGGAGGGCAATACCTGTACATGGTGCCACGACAACCCTGGCTCTGGCTGCGGCGGGCGTAGACTTGGCAACTATCGCTAGTTCCATAGCCACTTCTCCCGTCGCCTCTCGGTTTCAAGCTAGCTATGCAAACTTTGATTAGTTTTTCCGCCATAGATCTAGTCTGTTGGATGAGTCTGCTCAAGGCAGTAATTGTTTACGTAGGTTGAAGGTGTTGCTTGCCCAATGTTACTGTTCTCATCCACAGCTGGGCAGGGATCACAGCCTCCAGAAACCCAGAGGCAGGGTTTGATCATAGCTCCAGATTCCCTCCTCATCCACCAGCTGCCTTTTTGATAAGTGAAACTACAGCGTCATGAATGATGCACTGGTGTCCGTTCGCGTTCTCACCGCCTCATGGTAAGAGTGACCCTAGCATGACGCCGTGAAGCCCTGCAAGATGCCGAGACTTTTCAAAATTATGACAAAAAGAAGAACGAAATTGAAATAATTTTGGAAACAATCCTGCCTTGACAGCCCAGAAATGTCCAAGAGGGATTTTGCTCGCTGAAAAGAATCCAAGTTCGGGTGATTGGCGTTTGTGTTGGCTGCCTTTGTCAGAGAGATTGAGAGCACCAAAATAGTTCCAGAACGCCTGCTTTTAGATGTTGGGTAAAGCAGATCAGACAGAAAGATCTTATAGCCAAGTTTCATATAAGAAACTATAGTATCGAACTCTTCAGCTCCCATCAATTCACCCTGTCACACTGAGCAGATAGCGACTCAGGAAGTTGGAGCTTGTTGCGGCGATGCCGACCGACAATCCATAAAGCTGGAATCATTTCTAAACCATATTCCTCAGTTGAGGGTCAAGAAACATGCAATGGGCCTCCTTGGGAAGGGACTGCCTCGCGGTTGGTGTCTCGGAGAAGTATTCAGTCCTGAGCTCATTCGCCTGAGTCATCTCCAGAAATATCGTTCATTGAATGACGTAAGTGGAACTATGACTGATGTTTCATCAGATGTATGGTTATTCCACAAGAGCATGATGAAGGAGTAAATGTAGATGGTCTCCATTTCGGGGTCTGGCTTCCCCACTGGATTGCTGGAGGCCCTTACTTACAAACAGATTTTTATGGCGATCCCACCGGCTGCTAAACGGCATCATCAAAAGAAAGAACGAATCATTCAGAGTAACGTAGCAAGGATGAGATGTTAGTACGCCACGCTCTGCCCTGTATCCTTAAATCAAGAATTACGCCGGGGTCAGAGTTGTTGAAACTAGGGGCGTACATATTATCGCCACTCAGCACAGGAACGGATATGCCACACCAGTTACCTAGAATAGAAGCGCGATATGAATTTACTTAAGCCTGTCCACTTGCTCAATACTGGAGCAAGTTCAATAAAGCACTTACTTAATTGTCTCTCCAAGACATGGGTATCGGTTTTGGTCTTGGCTAGAGCGGAGAACGGTGGAGAGTGTTGCCGCGATTGCTAGGACTTGGTGAGTGCTATGCGGTACTTGAGGTCGTAGAGGTAATTAACGAGGAATTTTCCGTTAGGGGCTTGGGGGTCAAACAACACTACATGGTAAGCAACCTGACTCAGTCGTAACATGTCAATTATAGCAATGGGAACAAATCTGGTAACTTGAGTCATTCAGGGGAACTCATCGAATTCTTGCAAGAACAGTTGCAGCAACCTGAATTAGTCGCAACAACTCAATTACAGCGATCTCGATAAGATAGACCGAACGGCTTAGCGACGGCAAGTCCGTTTCTCCAAGAGTCGATCATGGCGAAGTCCCAGTCTGTGAAATACTTATAAGAATCGTTGATTCTTCGCCGCAGTCTTAATGTTAGATCATTTCGATTCTCAAGAGATCTCTGGTCACAATTCGGATTCGAGACATCGTCATGACTCTTTTCAGTCGGCTTTTTCTGTTGTTGGCCCTAGGGTACCTAATCGTTGGTACCCAGGGTAAAATGGTGATTGGATATCGCACTGCTGCGGAAGTAAGTCCTACACTATCGTGTATAGGGATTCATTGTATCGATGTCACTAACGACAGCGGCATCTTCTAGGAAGAAGCGGTGAAGATCAACGAGAAAAACAAACCGTTCAGAGATCCGGCCTTCGACAACTTGCCAGGTGGTAGTCAGATCGGAAATGGCATTTACTTAGGTGAGAACAAGCATAGCTTCTACTCACTCAAACCCCTCTTACCTAGGTACTTTGGACCTAACTCAGCTATAGGCTCCGAACCTGCGGGATGGCGAGGCTCGCCGATCAAGAAGAATTGGTACTGCGTATTCAAAGCAGATGAAGCCCGCTTCAATGCAGCCCCCAAACTATGGATCCCGCAATTTTGCACAAGCAAGAGTTGCTTCTGGGGAAGCTCGAAGACCAAGGAGCTCTGGGGTTATGGCGAGAAAGTGATCGCCAAGTACATTGCAAACTTCGGCTTCAGTGCGAGTTCAACACTTCGCTTCTCGTACATTGAGGGACACGGGCAGATGCTGCAAATGGTCATCCCCACCAAAATGGCCAATGATAACACTCTGGACATTTACGCCAAGTGCTTTAAGACCAAGGCTGAGTTAATTGCTTATGAAGGCCACTCCGTCAACTTCGCGGGCTGGAACATCAAGGGAGACCGTGGAAGCCCTGGCTAAAGACTCTGAACATCGAGTGTAGTGGAAAAGACGGCTTCGGCGAAAGCATTCGCGGCATTGCGAGTATTTACCTGCCTTACTCCAGAAATCTTCATAATACACAGCCATGCCCCTAGACTGAATCATTTGATCAAGGTGCACTTGCTCGTTCGTGACTCTTTTCCACTCTCACAACTAAGTATAATCACTTTCTCTGATCCCATTCCGAAAGGTGTCTGTTTATGTAGTATTCTGAATCTTTGCTTGAGCTTACGTCTACAGCGAAGCGATTACTTCGGACTTAGGGCGGTCTCAATCTTAGCCCAATACTTTTTCCGTAGCATTCCTTGAATCCAGTAGTCTCCATTGGCATCGCGGCCCAAGATGGTAAAGATACTCATTAGAAACGCAGGAGTACCCGCCGTTATCAAATGCATGTGAACGCCAGTCGGCTTTGCCAACACACGAGAAGCAGGAGCATCAGATTGAGGAGCGACAGACGGACGTGACGCATGTTCGTCCTCCCAGAGTCCATCACAACCCATAGCGCTCATCATTTCGACGCCACTGCTAGCGGCAGTATCGTTGGATGAAGCCTCAGGAAGGCGCGCACGCTCGTTCTCAAAGAGCCCGTCACAACCAATCTCGTCAACCGCCGCGGCCGAGAAGTCAACATTGAAGAACTCGGCCTTGGTCCAGTTGGTACACACAACCATGTGCATGCCCGCATCGCCGAAGAGAGCAGGCAGTCCGGCTTTGCCGTTGCCCGACTTTTTCTTTTTGTTGCCGTTCTCAACAACCTCATCCCCATGTGCACGCCGCTGCAGCGCCAAGAGAGCTTCAACTTGCGGCCTAGTGCTAAGTTGCGCGATCGCCTCTCTGAGGGCCTTTGCAACGCGGCCAAAGCCCAGCTGATCGTTTCTGACAAGATCTCGCGTGGGTAGCAGGGCAGGAATAGGCAAGATTGCGTTACCAACCAGTGCTCCTTTCTTGGGCAATCGTCCTGCTTGTGCCAGAATGCCACGTAAACCCATCATGTTTAGTATAGCGATGGTTTTGCGGCTCTTGGAGGGATTGCGGATGCGTGAGCTAATGATTTTGCGTGTCCACCATGAACAGAGAATATCACCATCACTTAGAAACGTGGCTGGAATTAACTGAGACTTATGACCCTTCTCTGGCCCTTGAGGTCCCGACGAACTAGCATTCTCGGCGTCGAGAGCTTGGAGCGCGTCATTGCGCAAAGACCTGACATATGCTGCGGGCACACACACCGTCCTAAACTCCTCAGCCGCGTTTCTGTTCAGCAGCTTGTCGAGTGCTTGCCGAAGACCGAGCGTAACGAGTTGAACAATTCCAAGTTGTCGATCGATGTGCCGGTATTGTTCGGAAGGGGATGTAGAAGCTGCTGTTTTGCTTGCATCGTCCTTTGTTACCATTTTAGTTGGCTCAGGTGATATACCCAAAGATCCAAGAGGATCGGTCCCAATCAACGGAATGACCTCTTCATGGCGTCCCTGTAGAGTGAGAGACCATGCGTCAAAGAGATCTTTAAGACCCATACAGTCCCACATGATATGAGAGAAGCCTAATGATACCAATGTTGCGTCGTTGAACGTGGTGACTTGTAGGCCTATCATCGGTTTATCGTGATAGACATAGTCTTCGAAACAAGTAGGATCACTTGGGTGTCGCATCAAGGGGGAGAAGTCCACGCCATTGCCTGACTCCACCATCCAAGGAACAGAGGCGTCATGAGAGCCACCAGAAGATGATGGAACTCTGCTCCGAAGTCGAGATGCTAATGGATGTTGCTTGATACTGATGTTGTTGTGACGGTTGTGATGAAAGGTGATTGCAGGCCGCTTCTCAGTGTATGTGTCAGGCACATGCCAATACAGCTTATTCGAAGGCTATGGAATCAAGTTAGTAAAGCGCATCATAGAGGGGAACTCGTATTGCTACAGGGGACTTACACCTAGCCGCACCCTCCCACCCAGCCTGCGCCAGCCATCCCGGCGGTCAAGCAATTTTTCCAGAGCTCTTCGTAGTTTGTCTGCATCCAGTTGGCGGTCGAAGCGCAGCATTACGTTGAGGACAGCATCGCGAGAGTGATGGTCCCAGTAGTCGACCGGGATAACCTTATCGGTCAAGACTGTAGGCGGAGCCAATCTCGCCACTTTGCGTCGAAGAATGGACATCTTTTCGCAAACTGATTGCAAACGAAGGACTCAAGCTCTAACTGCAGAGCGTCAAAAACGAAGAAGTCACGCAAATGGAGCGCTGTCTTCTTGATCTTCCCAAATGTGGACAGCCACGACTGAGGTAAAGAACACGGTTGGAATTGAAAACAGGCAACTGTGCGGTGAACAGGGGCGTCGCGACTTGTCTTGCGAGCGCTCCAATCGGCGCGTACCTGTGTGTTCCGAGATCTAGAAAGGGACGAAGGATCTAGTTGCATCTTCAGCGGCCCGGGCTCATCCTTCATGCAAGGCGAGGTAACATCGGTGAAACCCCACAATCTGTTTGATCACTGAATTGCCGTGTAAGCGGACAGTGCGAATCTGATAGAACCTAGAGAAGGGCGAAGGATCCCACGCTGACAGCTTGGCGAATAGAGCTTATGGAGACCCTGGTCCTGTTCCAGATGTCGTAACCCCACACCGAGCTCGTGGTTCAGACGAACACGACCCGTGCCGAGACGGAGACGACCTCCGTCGGCCGTTGACTAGATCATACACGAAGATAAGAGCTACCAAGTGGATGATATGACACACTAGGGACGTAGCGCTAAGGATCAGGTGCTCCGCCTGGCTAGATGCTAACTCTTTATTCATTCAAGTCTCCGTTCCATCAGGCTTACGATAGTGAAGCCAGGCCCAAACAAGCATGTGAGAGCGATATTCCAAGACACTTCTCTACCAATCGACCATGTATCCCCCTTTACCCGCGTCGAAGGCTGGAAAAATATGACCCAAGCGAACGCAGCGGCGGTGCCGATGTAGTAGTCATAGCGGAGAAAGTTGAATGCGCCTTCTGTCATCCCATTTACCTGGGTCTCATTATCCCACTTCTGCGGCAGGAAGAAGTCGGCAGGTCGCAGCTGCGCATGTGGCGAATCTTGTGTAGGCTCCAGCTTGCCAATGGCAGCGGAGACAATGGGTATGAGACCCAAGACATGGATCAAAGCGGAGACTACGGCGGTAGCTTTGTACAATCTTCGAAGAGCTGACATGTTGCGGCTGAGTTCGCCGTCTTCGGTAGTGTGTTCTTCCGATTTTCGTGCCGGGATGGCTCCCACCAAAGACACGGCAATCACCTGGACTAAGGCCATCCACGCTGGGAAGTTCTGCCAAACAGCTACAGCGACCTGTCGTGACTGACCAGAGAGATGGTTGCTTGGCAGACACATAATCGCCGATGGGATTACAAGCCCAATTAGCACTGATGCCGGGATAGCTTTAATGGCAGCCATGGTCGGTAGTCTTGAATGCTTCCTAGGTGACTGAGAAAGCAGGGATACATAACAGTATATGGGCATGATGATGAAGTACCCTGCATACTGTATGGCAAGACCCCAGAGCGCGAAAGGAATCAGGTCCCTTGCGCGTCGCGTTCGTAAGCTCTCGACTAGCATGACAGTGAAAACAGCTATGAGAAGCCCCATCCAGTGCCACCCTAGCAGAGCCAAAGCCTGGGACGAGCCATCGACTGTAGGGATGATGCTGAACTGCAGGTTGGCGAGATACGAGTCCAGGGGCGGGACCCCGGTATAGACTGTCAGGAGGGGTGTTTTGTTGTCTGGGAGTAAGGGTGTTGCCGATGCTCGCCTATCGGTGAATAACTGAGCGTGGCCAGAGTTGACCATGAGGTTTGAGACCGCATAGAGTCCAGCCAGTGTGATGAACGGAAATACAACGTGTATCGATGATGGAGCCATGATGGCGGTGTTGCTTGTCGATCAAGTGCTAAAGTGAGGGAAAATGGTGTGAACGGGAGACTGGACAATGATGTTGATGCAAAAGCTTCAAGATAGCTAAGCATGGGACACACAAATCAACGTTTATGTAGTAAGAGGATCACCTTACTGTTTGAGACATGGTTCAATACGTGGCCTAGTCTACAAGTCCAACACCATCACCGCCTAAGACACACTCGTGGCTTGCTTGATCCTGCAAGGATACCCGTTGTTGGGCTTAGTGCTTCCATGGATGATCTGATAGGCACGATCCCCTGCTACTTCTGTGGGACCCGTCCGGCCCATCGTCTCGTTGAACTCGACGTAAGCGTCCGCAAAGTCAAAGTCCCGCAGCACCATAGCTAAGATAACCTTCACCTCCAGCAAGGCTAATTCTTGGCCAATGCAGTTTCGCGGCCCTCGCTCAAACGGCCGCCACGCCTCCTTGTCCGCGGGGTACAGCTCGTCACCAGGAGAGGCCAGCCAGCGTTCCGGGACAAACTCATCCGGCCTCACCCAGTGCTCTGGTGCTCGATGGATAGCGTGATGCACACCCCAAAGCATGAAGCCTTCAAGATTCGTTTTGTCAGTTTCCGATACCGTGAAGCCTGGTCCAGACGCACGCGTACTGGACACGGGTGGGTACAGCCGGAGAGCCTCCTTGATAACGGCTGATGTATATGCCAGTCGATTGAGGAGCTGGGGGGCGTTGGCGATGCTATTTCCAGTCTCCTTTACGGTGCTGTCGGCTCCGAAGATATCGTTGTGCTCTTGGCGCGCTCTTGATAGGGCAGCTGGGTGAAGCGAAAGGAGATGGATAGAATAGACCACCGCAGCGGCTGTCGTATCATAGCCAGCGAAGAGAAAGAGCTTCATCTGTGAGACGGCGTATTGCTTGAATGTGGGATCCATAGTCATCTTCTGACCAGAATATCCATTGTTCTTCTCCGAGAGTAGATATGTTTCAAGCGCCAGGTCGACAACAGCCTTGCTTCTTCTTGGGACTGCCGTTGTCTTCTCGGGTCCGGAATCCCCAAGCTGGGCCTGAGATCGCATTGCAGCGAAGTGCGTCTCCAACTCGCTCGAGACATACCTATCCATCCTCCATCGATTATAGCGATAGACCAAGTGCCTTATCGGGTTGAACTTTCTGAAGAGATTTGTCTCATTGGGGGATGGGATCCAGTCGGCTTGACTGCGAAATGCTGACACAAGATCACAGCCCTGCCTCTGGGCGTTCAAACGAGAACCTCTACAATATCAAGTTAGAACTATCATTGAACAGTGGCAACATATTTCTTGAGAAACTTTGGACTCACAATGTTGCGAGACAACTCATGTCCATAGTCAACCGCGACATAGTCTCAAACAACGAGAAGATCTCGCCGGCCGCTGCTCTCTCTCGCAGGATATCATGCAACACCAGGGTATTTTCAACGAGACCCGGTACCAGCGTCACAAGATGCGCCGCGTTGAATCCAGGATTGAAAACGCCCCGCCAGTACCGCCACTCATCTCCCTCCATCGTGACGAGACCATGGCTTCCGATGAGAGGCTTCAGGAATCCCAACACCCCCTCATGTTTAGGAAGTTGCGGCTCATGCACCGTCACTCGAGCCTGATCGTGACTTGTCGTTATCACCATCAATGGTGGACCGGTCGGCCACAGGTCCAGGTAGAAGACAGCTGGGAGGTCAGGGTACACTCGCCTGATTTCGCCCGCCAGGTAGTGCCCGTGAAAATCGCTCGGAAGGGTTTTCGCAATCTTAGCCGCAAGCCCTAAATGACCGAGTAAGAAGTTATGAGGAGGCATTGGCAGGCCTTGTCGTTGAAGGCGCTGGAACATGCGGCGATGGTTGATGAGCTTCACGAGGAAGCGCACTATGAGGATGGCTGCGACGAAGGCGGCAACTTGCGCAAAGGTCCAGGTGCGAAGCCTTGACAACCCCGCGACGCCATACTGGTGTTGCCAATGTTGGACTGTTGAGTTCATCGTGGATATCGCACGAAAGAGCACGCGTTCTGAAACCGTTGTAACGGCTGTCGACGTTATTCAGAATCCTCAGCCTTCAACGTAACTGACAGACTTCACTGCCAATGACAGAAGGGAAAGAAATCACATGCCGAAGCTCCTCGCTCTCACATCGAATTGCAAAGATTCCCATTACATCATACAGGGCAACGAACTTCACGACAGTCTTCATTCAACTAGCTGAATGTGACACTGTGTCAGAAAGAAGCGAAAGTTTGATCTTTTCGGTCAGTTGTGAGCACTAAGCTGGAATTGGGTCTTCCGTAGGATTCCCGTTGGCCCGCTGGGAAGGATTTCCCGGCGCTGACGGCGTTGTAACCCTCCCCACTAGTGCCGGCCACTTCACCCCTGCAGAGACGAGAACCTGCAGAGATGAGCAAGGTGTTGCAGAAATACCAGCCTCACTTCTTGGCGCTTAGCAGCAGTTCTCACATAATCTTGTCTGATTGGGCTTATTCTTGCTCGGCATACGGCTTTCGAGAGTCCGGACTATGGTAGCTCGCCCTGGCAGCGGGACTAAGTGGCAATTATGCTATCATCTGAGACAAGGCACTAGAGTACCCAGCTCGGTGAAAACCCGACTAAAGTAGTCTTAGGCAGAAACGTTTCATCCAGAGAGAAAAGAAGCGATGACGGGGCGAGTGCGATGTCGAAGCGAGACCAAGGCTCGGTAAAGAGATGTGTCAGATCTAGAGAGTATGTGCAAGAAAGCAGACGGATGTTGTAATCTTCATGAACAAGGTGGAAAGAGAAGTTGATCGCAGGGCAGCTCTGGGTATCTTCTCGTGGATTTTAGTTTTAGAAGTAAGACGCCCAGAGCCATTCGTTTGTATCGGCGAATTATTACTTTCAAGAATAGTATGTTCATTCTCCGCCTGGTGAATTGATGTCTAAATGTTTCCGGCGACTAGTGTAATCTGCCATAATACCCAACAAGAAGAGCAAATATAGCCAAGAATGAAGCAATCACCCACACCGTTTTTCGACGTCTGGAAAGTTCTAAGTTGTTCTGTTGAGTTCCAGCCTTTGTATATGCAATATCCCAGTGCTGCCATATCGGATGTTTGCACATCCACCCGAAATGGATTTGGTTAAAGCTTTGAAGATGCCAAATCGTCAGCTTGTATTTTTAAACGATTGAGCAAGTGAAATGAAAGTTATCGCGTGACTTACGGACATATCGAGCTGTTCCAGCCTCCATTCTGTATGTAGCCATTGTGACAAGTTTGCCAGACTTTGTCTAGCGACCTTCTCTGCACATCAGCCGTGTAACTTTGCTCGGCTTCTAGCTGAATCTCAACAGTACGGGCCTGTCCGCTCAGAACAAGCTTGAGGAAGTTCAGAGCATATCCTATCACATTTTCACTTGCTAGAATGGCTGATGAGTGGCCGCTGACGGAGTTTGGCCCCAGAACCATGAAAAAGTTAGGGAATCCGTGAACTGCAGTGCTGAGGTACGCGCCAGGGCCTCCATTTGCCTGCCAGACATCGTGAAGAAATTTGCCGTTTTTCCCTTGCACTTTCAAGCGATGGAGGTAAGTCGAAGTCTCGAACCCATTTGCCAAGAGAATGACATCTGCGGGCTTCTGGATGGTTTCATTGTGGCACTTCTCGTCGATGGACTCCAAGCGCTCTTCTCCTGGCCGAGGACCTAATACAATGCCCTGGGATTCGATTGAAACCAGAGGTCTGTCGGTAAGTTCAATATTTGGGAGACTCAAGCTTTCCAACCATCCACCGTCGACAATGATCCGCCGACATCCAACACCAAAGTGTGGTGTGAGCATGTCGTGATATCTAGGTGGCACCGTCTTCCGCAGGTGACTTGAGAGTCTTTTCTCAAACCACTGTCGCCGCTTCTTGCCGAACCAGCCCGTGCCGACATTGAGCCATGTTGATTCAGCGTACAGGAAGAGGCAAAGCCGAAGAAACAAGCCTAGTCCAGGTATGGTTCTAAGCAACGTGGAAACAACCTCCATCAAACGCGGAGGAGGTTTCTCAGGTCGAGCCATAACCCACGGCGGTCCCCTCATTAGCTGCGTGATTGACTTCGCAGCAATCTCTGGGCTTGCCAGTGCCGGAACGAGCTGCGCTGCAGTGCAGCCTGCCCCGATTACGACAACATCTTTTCCTGTCAGGGAAACATCCTCTTTCCACTGCGCGGTGTGAAAGACCTGTCCTCGGAAAGACTCAATTCCTGGGACATGCTGCGGCCAAATATTGGGCTCGACAAGCTCACCGGCGCATGTAATTAGGATCTTACACCGGAGAGCCTCTTCTTCTGAAGTCTTGTCTTGGGGATTCAGACTGGTCACCTTGACTTCCCACTCGGCATCTTCATCAATCCATCGAGCACTTGACACCTCGGTGTTGAGCTGAATGTTGCTGTGGATATAAAACTTGTCGCAGACACCATCCAAGTACTGCTGGATCTCCTGGCCTGGAGGAAACAAGGTCGTCCACTCATAGTTTGGGGCGAAAGAATACGAGTAGAAAATTGCCGGGCTGCATCAACAGTCAGATCCGACGTCACGATCAGAAAAGGCCAATCATCTCTGCCTCCCGACACACTGATTCCACTTACATATCGCAGGCTACGCCCGGGTATCTGTTGGCAAACCATGCCCCTCCGACACCGTTCTGTCTGTCGAATATTCGGAAGTCGTCAGTACCCAGCTTGGTCTTGAGCATACAACCCACGGCGATTCCAGATTCTCCTGCGCCGATGATGATAGTTGAGTAACTGTTTGGCATTGTGGTTGAGTCTGGCCTCTCACCCGTGGCCATCTGGATTTTCTTTGGACTTGCCCAACAAAGTATGGCAACGATGTGATGATTCTTTCTTCCTTCACTTCGGAGGTCACCTCCGTTGACCTAGCTTTGCCTTATTTGGGCCTATGGATCATCAACAATCCGGAGTGCCCTGGATTGGTCCTAGGCCCTGCAATCCTAGTCTGACACTGTGCAACCCAACATCATTATGGCGCGACTGACTTTGCGGGTCCATTTGGCTGTGCTCACAGTGCTTATGCCAAGTATCGTGATTCTGAATGCAGGGTTGCAGACTAGTCTCGTTGTCTTAGGCAGCAGAACCACTAGCATGGCCGCTGACACTAATCAGCAAGTGTAGCCATTACACATATCCACATGTACCCATGTCAGCTACTATCTTGGTAGACATCGTTACATCGACATCATCTAGCGATTTTTTGCACCGTGTAAATCGCCTCCCTTCCCCTACCAGGATTACCGAGTCCAGAACCGCTCCCATGGCTCATGTCAAGTACATATGACAGAGGTGGGTCGGACTTTCGGCAAAGAGGACATACACCTGATTGGTAAGGCTGATAGCATCGTCGTACTCCCGAATCCTTCGAGACAGATGTGCTCCGTATGAATTATGATGCCACTCGGGGCAATTCGGCCACTTTTGAGGCCGTTGACCCAGATCCGGTGGAATAGCTTCCAAGCCTCTGGCAGGGAATACAATCCTTTACGGTCTGTGGGACACAGTGCTTCTTACTCGACAGCAAATGACCACAATCACATGCAGCCCGGGTGCCACTATGTATCATCCTTCAGCAAAGTCTGAGCAGCATGTGTGTAAGTCGTCAAGCTCAAGCCTCCGCGCGGCAGCACGAGAACTGAATCCACTGAAGTATTAGGAGACTACTGGAAATGGAGCTGGCTCGGGTTTTCGAGGTGACTCGGCAACCTGCCAACATCACGAGATTTCGAAATTCCACCATGGACGATCATGACTTCCCATTCACTCATCAAATCAAATTGATTCTACTAAGGATCAGTTCCTGGCCCGTAGTTCACGCTTTCAAATACTTTGTGCTGGTCATATTTGGTGTTTGCTTGTGCACCTACATCTTCACATCATGCCGTTTTTACCTTAGCAGCAAGAAGAACCGCCAATTTCGAGGAAATGAGCCACCTACCTTGGCATATTGGTTGCCATGGGTTGGGAATGGCATTCAGATGATCAGAGATCCTCATAAGTTCTATGAGGAAACACTGTAAGTTTATTCTTGAGTACTATATGTTGAGTATATGGCCATCATGCTGATCGACGTTACCGTAACAAAAGTGCCAAACGACCAACAAAAGGACCGGTGACTATGCGTCTAGGTCCTATTTCCATGTACCTCGTGATGGGCGCCTCGAACATTCAAGCAATTTTTCGACAGTCTAGCAGTCTTTCGTTCGAGTTTATGCAGTTGCGTATCGCACACAAGGTCAAAGGCCTTCCAGCCAGCGATGCCGCCCTTCTGGGGATGGACGACTCAGGGGCTGGTACTCTCAACCAGTCTGAGACCGGCGTTGTAGGGAAAGGGCGCATTTGGCACATACTTCATGGGATATACCTCAAGAACCTTACGGAAAAGTCAGCCGTAGACTTTCTGACGGCCAAATTTGTCTTCGAGTTTTCCGAACAGCTCAAGACTTGTCCAGAAGGCGCATCAGCCCCAGCGATTGTCGGCTTATACGACTTCCTACAGACGTACCAATTCGCTGCATCAACCATTACTTTAGTCGGTCCGCGAATTCTCCAAAAGGGCTCGTTGGAAGCCAAGACATTCTGGGACTACGATGCTGCCTTCATGACACTCATGCAGGGGCTGCCAAAGCTAGTGTGTCGCAAAGGCTGGGCAGCGCGCGACCGCACTCTTGAAGCCACCAAAGACTGGCTGGCGGCAGCAACTGCTGGTTGTCCCCCAGACAGCGATGCTGATTGGGAAGCGAACTTTGGTCACAGGCTTGTGCGTGAGCGAAATGCTGCACTTGTTGATTACGGTATCAGCTTCGAAGGACGTGCAGCAATGCATATGGGCCTCATTTGGGCGTGAGTGGTGTCTCTTCCTATCTCTCCTGACCCCCGATATTTTCCTGTTATTTTCTCCCATGGTCATCTGCTAACTTCTGCCGTTGAACAGCATCAATGCTAACGCCGTTCCCATGACCGCATACATGTTATTCGAGATGGTCCGAGACCCGCAACTCCTCTCAAGAATCCGCGCCGAGGTGAAGACTGCCATGGTCGTCGGTACGAATATGACATCAGTACTCGATATCGATATCACAAAGCTAGCGGCTCTGCCTTTGCTGAACTCCGTATACAACGAATGCCTGCGTCTGCGCTCGAGCATCCCCATCTCGCGGCGTCTGCGGCAAGACATCGAGATTGACGGATATACGCTCAAGAAGGACAACTTCATCCTGGCTCCCAGTTGGCTATCACACATCGACGAGGCAGTATGGGCGTTCCCAGGCCACCCGGCACGCGACTTCTGGGCCGAGCGTTTCTTGCAGCCAGAAATGCGCAAAGTCAAGCTAGGTGACTACTGTCCGTATGGTGGTGGGAGCGTCATCTGCCCTGGGAGATTCTTCGCCAAGCATGAGATTCTAGCGGCGGTTGCGATGATGGTCACCACTTTCGACATGGAGTTTGTGCGCTGGTCGCGTTTAGATGGTTCACCAGCGAGCAGAGGTCCGGGCATGGAGGGGGCGGAGTGTCGAGGTGTCGTAAGTCTTGATAGAGATGCTACGGTGAAGATCCAGAAGCGGAAGCTGTTATAAAAGGCATGTCGTATTATTTCAGCGTACACAGTCGGCTATCTGATTATTGAACATACATGTATTCTCTTGATCTAGAATCTGAACCACCAAAATCCAGTGCGACTTAATCCATTGTCCACCGATGCATCGTCTGATGCCTCAAAGATACGAGATGGCAGATATGATTGCGATCGAAGTACGCACAGGGTTGACCCTTGTTCCCGTGACTCCTCAGTTTCAATTATCTTCGCCCATGTATCATCTTCCATCTTCTTGTGAGAAAACAGCACATCAAATAAACTTTGGAATGCTCTGATGATTTAAGGTTACGGCAGTCCTAGCGTCCGGCTGTCTCAGCTTCTTACATTACCATCCGGTCACGACTAATAGATCGTCGACTCCATGAGCTTAAATGCTAGCAAACTCCCATGACCCTCTTCTACGGATGAACATATGGGATCGATACGTTGTGGCATTTGCTCTAGCACTCACCTTCTTTACTTGGAATTCGTGGCAAGATGGCCCGAAATATCTTCAATCGCAACGCCAAACATGTACAGGCGCAAGCGGCCCGGTCTGAGGCCCCTGAATTCGAACCAGTTACGTGGTGGAAGGACCCTGGACTGAGGAAGTTGTACTTCTGGTGTGGTGTCTTGATGATGATGTCTGCATCGACAGGCTTCGATGCGTAAGCTCCTTCTCTTGCACATGGAGTCCAAAACACCAGTGCACAACAAGATACTCATGACGAAGGGATGCAGGAAGCTTATGAACACATCACAAGTCATGGATCAGTGGCAGAGCTCCTTCAATCATCCTGCAGGGGGAAGACTCGGCCTCATCGTTGCCATTCTCGATGTCGGATCTCTTTCCAGTTTCTGGATGGTGTGAGTGTGACCACAAGACTCAAGTTGCGGTCCAGTGTGAGACTTCTGCTAAACCCAGATTCACATAGCCCATATTTTGCAGACAAGTACGGCCGAAAAATGCCCATCATTATCGGTTGCGTCATAGAGATCATCGGCGCTTTCATAGGAGCTTTATCAAACAGCGAAGGAAGTAAGTCAGCCTTTTGAGTCGCAGGTTCCGTTGAGTAGTCCGAGTATTGATCCTTGCATGAAGTGTATATGGCCGGACGCTTCATTCTCGGCTTCGGAAGCTCATTCAACGGCGCCGGTCTCCTGATAGCCGAGATCGCGCACCCTCAGCACCGTGCCAGGATCTCTGCCATCGTCAACTGCATGTACGGAGTCGGATCGACCAGCTGTTCCTGGCTAGCCCTAGCGACCATTCGGATAATGGGCGACTGGTCGTGGAGATCGCTCACCATACTTCAGGCGTTCCCCGGCATCTTGGTTCTCTCGCTCATTTACTGGATCCCGGAGTCACCTCGCTGGCTAGTCGCCAAGGAACGTTACGAGGACGCTGAAAACATGCTATCCACGTACCACGGCAACGGGGATAAGACAAATGAGACAGTGGTATTTGAGTTTCGAGAGATGAAACAGACGTTGGCTCTTGAGTTCCAGGATAAAAAGTCCAGCAGCTACTTCGACTTCGTTCGGACTGCGGGCAATAGGTATAGGGTTGTTTTGTTGATCTCACTGGCGATGGTGTCTCAGTACAGCGGTACAAATCTCTTCTCCAACTACGCCAACAAGATTTACGAGGGTGCTGGCATTCGCGATCAGACAAACAAGGTTCTGGTGAGTATCTATCTACCTCACTGAGCAAAAACCTCCGTCCGAAGCATTCTGACGGCTCATTTCCAAACCCAACAGCTCAGTGGCGGCCAGACGCTCTTGTCTCTCGTCGTCTCGGTATCCTTCTCATTGTGCATAGACCGCTTTGGTAGAAGACCACTATTCCTCACAGCCACCACGGGAATGGTGCTCATGTACATGGGATGGACCATCATTAGCTCCCAGTTCGAGCGTACTCACGACCTTGCCCGATTTGGGTACCCCCAAATCGCCTTCATCTGGCTCTTCAGTCTCTCGTATCAGATCGCGTGGACCGGGGTCATGGCAGCCTACGCGTTGGAGATCATGCCATACAGTCTCAGGGCGAAGGCCGGCGTCATATCAACTATTTTTGTCAAGGGGTTGATCGTCCTAGGAAGGTGAGATCACATAATGAGTGAGGCTCCCAAGCTCATGTTCAATGCTGATATGCGACGCGTTCTTCAGCTATACCAACCCCATTGCTTGGGATAACTTCACAGCAGCCGGACATGCATGGACACTGGCCATGTTCTACACTGTAAGTGGCCCTCGCCTTGTGGTCAGCTCCATAATTGCCTCAACTGATCCGTCTGTAAGATCCTGGACTTTTGCTATCTCTTGTTCGTGTATTTCTTCTACCCAGAAACAAAGAATCTCACTTTGGAAGAAGTCGCCAAAGTCTTCGACGGCGATGAGGCAAAGGTTGCAAGGATGGACATGGAGGACGTCAAGAATCAAGTGGAAGAAGAAAAGAAAAGGCAGAGTCACGTCGAAGTCATCGCCCTCTGATGGATCAACAAATGCGAGGAAGGTTTCCTAAAGTAGGAGGTGCCACAGTCATTTTGTGCACCACGGTCCGCGAAAGGGTCCGAGATCTTCAGGAATCGAGGAAACTGAACAAAGAGCCAAACTAGCCGACTTATCCCAAGCGTAAAACTACACTACGGCCATAAGAGCAAAAGACAGCTTAGAGCTCGCAACGGGCATTACGTCCCTTACTAGTAACATTCCTCGATCCGGTCCAGGCCTGCCTGTGATGGTTCGGGCCGTGGCCTGGACTCACAGCAAGATGGACTACTCGCATAACTCCGAGGAATGTGCCGACCTCTGCGAGGTGACGAAGGACCCTAACTCACAGCATCGCAAAAGGAAAGACGTCTTCCTTAGCCTCGATTTTCGATTACCTAACCGCTCGGGAACCCGATAGCCGAGGAAGCCATTCTTCCGTCACACAATAACCGTGCAACCGCAAACGACCTTGCGAGTACCTCGCTCGCGTTCGTACACAGTACCAAGAATTCGAGACCTTCTACTCATTCCTAAAAGAGCTAGATGAGTCCTGGATGGTTGTATCATTCAATATTTTCTAAAGTATCGTGATTGATAGCGAATTCTATCTATACTGTATCTTTATCCAGAATTAACAAATACAACTCGTTTACTGAAACTATCACTGGTTAATATTCACTCGGCGGCGAGTATCCTTTTTGTATGAACCAAACGGTAGATTCCGCTGGTGATTGATGATTCTGGCCGGTAGAAATCAGAAAGTCCTTATCTCCACATCAAGTTGTCAGATTACCCGCATAGACTGAGGGACATATAGACATCTCTATATGTTCGCTACATCTCTCTACTTACTGAATTAAGTGCTGCGTCGTCTCGAATCCAGCCTCTTCGTGCACTGGTAACAACAACCCATTCGTCCTCGCGAAATCAGACCGAGCTTTCTCACTCACCCAAATGCTATCAACGTTGCTGGCGTCCAGTCCTTCTGCAGCTGCGGCATCTTTCACAGCCTTCAGCTCATCTTCAATCCTCTTCTCCTTGAAGCAAAAGTTCCGAGGGTACCAAAACTTTCGCTCGCGCGTGGGCTTGAACTCCAGGATAGGCTCTCGGTCCAGTACTCGAAGAATGACCTGTTCCGCAAGGGTCTATGCAAACTTAGCGTCGTCATAATGGCTTCTCTCATATGACCTACATAATTCTTGTCAGGTCGATCCAGATGAAGCTGGTCCTTCAGGGTGATATGGGTGTTGGTGATGACGCGAGCATAGTGGTGACAGTTGTAGTTCGCTGTGTGCGGAACCAGACCGTGGAGGATGAAGACGTCGCCCTTCTTCGCCTCGACAGTCTGGAATATCTCGCACTCGCGCACGCCGATAGTCAGATCATCAGCGGTTAAAGCTGGGTCGAGACCTTCAGGGTGGTCGTAAAGTCGCTTGCAAACCTCTCCAGTAAGGTAAGTAGTCAGCAAGAGTTCAATAGCCATCAAGTCTGAACCAGACGTGATTTGGGATTATGACAGCTAGAAATGGATTCATACCTCGTATTAAGCCATCCTCGCATGATAGAGTACCTCCGCCTCCTGGTGGAATTTCCGTGAAGCAGTTAATGACCGTCAACGTTGTTCCTGAGGAGTCAAGAAGTTGTCGGAACCAGTCATTGTCACAATGCCAGCCGCCTTTCTGCTTGGGCAATTCTACGTTATCTGACTCTCGGGACCTGGACTCGGAACCAAAGTTGACCACAAAATTGTCCCCCACTCAGCGTTCTCGCTCGTCATCCCAGGCTCCAACACCGCCGATGATGTGAGTGATTTTGTCAAACGCCTTTGGCGCGAACTTCTCGTAACGAAGTTGCCGATGGAAGGGCAGGTGAAGGTACTCCTGTGCCCATGTGGATTTGTCGCCAGCATCATACCCGCAACGGACCCAGAGATCCTTCATCCACCGCTGTATAACATCTGGATCGATAGCGTTTTCGACGCGAAGCCAGCCACGTTCCACAAAGTTTTTGGCTTCCTCGTCTGTCAAATGCTGGAAGGGCGTGCTGGGTGGTGCATATATAAACCTCTCCCCAGGCTTAGCGAAAGATTTCGGGTACGGCGCCATGTTGAGAAAAGTGCGGACGGCTTGAGAGTGAGCTGCACTATGCCTCTGTGACCTATCTTCATTTGATTCTGTTTCTCTGAGCGGCGGGATACTTTTCATGAATTTGATCCCACCGGCAGCTACTTGACAAAAATGCATCGGTCGAGCATCATTCGAGTAATCAGGTTCCCCTCACGACAGCGCCATGCTTTTATCCGAAGCTCAGTCATGAAGAGTAGCCACGGTCACCACTATAGCCTTGCTGTTGAGGCAGTACTGGTCATGCTAAAACTCTAATACACAGCCTGTCGGTCTATGCTCGACCGAGATCAGCTCCTACGATAGATATTTTTCTCTAGACCTGAGTCTCAAGTCACTGAGACGTGATCCAGGGGAATCTATAAGTATTCAGTGACCAAAACGGATGATATCACAAGCAATATGTATAGCATAACGTGACTGCCAATGCTGTATATGGAACCGCGTTTCTGAAGTTACAGCCCACTTCGGTCCATATTCCAGCGTGTTCCAGCGTAGATACATGTATCTAGACAGGGAAGACACTGGTCGCGAGAGTCGAGACCGCTCTGTATTAGATCAGGAACAGAGTGCTAAGCACAGTAGGCATCAGCAAACTATCAATGTTGTACGCAGCCATCGGGGAGTTTTGCACCGATGGGTATTTAAATAGCCGCGGGGTCGTGATCCTCCTTATCGCGTACTCGGCATTAATGTATATGCCGAAGGGTAACGGTAAGGATATAAGCCTTACTAATCACCATTTGGCTGACTGAATGTAGGACTGTACCTACTGGAGTTGGCACAGTCTCGTGAAGTTTTTTGGAGTTGACCCCTCGCGCCAATCTCCTCGAAACAAGGTATTAGTGAGTGCAATCGTGCCTCCATCTAACTAATAGTGTTGGAGAGCAATTAGAAGATGCTGCAATAGTGTGCTTATTCGATATGAAATTGCGTGGATTCTTTCTCGTTTTCTCTTTAACGTCAGAGGAACGGAGGCGCAGACGTACACCCATCTGACCAGATCGAATTCAGCCGTACCCAAACGTCCACCGGCGCAAGAGGCAACAAGCCTCTGGAGATCCTGTGTGACAACCAGCCATGTCATCTTCCGCCCGTACGAAATACCTACCACTACCGTCCAGATCCCAAGCCTCAATCCACCATCACGCCCATCATCATTGTTCTGACATTGGTCAGCTGCAGTCAAGTGTGGTCACACACTAACGCTGAACCGAAAAACACAGGTGGGCCCCGCATTATAAGCATAGCTCTTCGACGACGCCGTCCGAAAGCAGCCCGCCCGCGTCCGCTCCCTCCGCCCCGTCACACCCGGAAACGGCGCTGCAGGCTCTCTCACAGGAAAGGGGGGCCGGTTCGGTCACTGGTTTCCCTGCCCGCCTCTTGCGTACTAGGCCAATCATTTTCCTCTTTCTTCGCAGAACTGTTGCGATGCGGGTTTAGCTCCGTGGCTTGAGGCTCCCGAGATTCGGGTTAGTCGGTGTCTGCCTCTGGTCGAGATCTACCCTTCCAGAGGCGGCGGCGGTGAGACATTCTTTTAGCGAGGAGGATATGTCTCGGATAGACTTGTCTTGGGCGGGCCAGATTTCGTCAACGGAGGAGGTTGAGCTGAAGAAGAGGAAAAGCGGGAGGGACGAGTTGTGTGACATCAAATGGCGAGGATGTTGGCTGAGATTAGATGGGAATAAATACAGACGTTGCGGCCTCCTTCAGTCTAAGAGAACTCCCAGCCCTCATGCACTTCAGCAACAGCCTTGGACAAGCATTAATAAAGATATTCTCGCCTGTGCCCCCTTCACCTTACCCAGGACAACATCCATCTCACTTTACTCACACAACATCAACCTCACAAACACACCACAATGCGTTTCTCCTCCCTCCTCGCCGGGTTCGCCGCCCTCTCAGTATCCTCAGCAACTCCAGTGCCACTCAGCTTCCTCCCCTTCGGCAACCTCCCCTCCCAATCAAGCACAGGCGCGAGCATCATCGCCAACCTCGACACCCTCCAAGGCTCCATCCTCAAGCTGACGACAACCCTCAACGGCCTCGACTACACCACCGGCAACACCCTCAGCGTCGCCAACATCCTCAAGCTCCCCGCGGTCCTCCTAAACACAATCGGCCTCAACTCGGCCTCCTCCTCCACCTTGCTCGACGCAAAGGCCCTCACCCTAGCCCTCAACTCGACCGACTCGACCGCCATCGTCAACAAGCTCACAAACGAAATCCAGCCTGCGCTCAAGACGGTCACGGATCTGTTGAACAAGGCAAAGACATCTGGCATTGTCGCGTCGTTGGCTCCGCTTGGTCAGACCGATTACCTCAAGCTGATCTCGACGAATCTGGGTGGTCTCGGGGCTGCGCTCTCGCCTTACATCGACACTACCTCGCAGTCTGGTTTGACCGGCGTGACTGCCACCCTCAGCAACCTCCTGAAAGCCACCGTCAACGTCTATACCTCCTGAGATTAGGCCAACTCTATCTGGATCGGCAGCGACTGGTATAAGAGAGATGGAAATGAACGTGAGGGTTAAATGGATAATGATTGGACACGGCTGGAAAAATGAGATTGAACCATGTAGGAATTAGCCAGCATCTTTAGTATTGTTTTATGCTTCGATTATCTTCACGACGGGGTTCACGATTCCGCCGGTACACCTTTTAATTCAATCATCTTCGCTTCATGTCTCAGTACGACTCAGCTATCACGTATCTTTCTTCTGAAGACATATTTCGATATCGTACCTCTTACGTGCGGCTTTCTTTGTCACTGCACCCTGGGCTAAAATATCCCATTCCCACTGTCCTACCTGCTGCCTGGATACGTCCAGGGGTTCATACATGTTAAAGATAGATCAATCATCTCATTAAGCTCTATGTTCAATTTTGGAAACCACGCCATGAGGAAAATAGTCAAGATGAAAATGTCATCCCAACAACACAAGATCACCATGTGCTGTGCCGTCAATAGAGATGCGATGCTACACATAAGGCCGAACAATACTTATTTATCATCAGTTCGCGACGAGGTAGAACAGCATCGAGACACTCAAGCGAGCATGGCAAAAGTTCAAGTTTGACACTGACAGGGACAGAAGAACACTGACAAGTTCGTCGTACTGAACACCCAGGACATGATGTTTAAGAAGAAATCCTGTAATTCCGGGCATCAGTGCCATACTTTGCCTCAGCGGATAACATCAAATGATTCTGATATCTCTCCTAGAAGCGTCGAGGTTACAGTTGTAACAGATCTAGTTAAAAAGCATTCATTACACTTCCCGGTTCTACAACCCCAGGGATCATGTCATCGTGTTTACATGCATCTTTCCGTAAAAGTTCTACCAACCATGGAGTCCAGTCCGCCCAGCTCATGTCCGCCCAACTCATCAGCAGCCGCACCATCACCGTCCCGGTGGTTGCTCTACTTCATCGCAAGCCCCGAGGTCGAGGCCGGAGTCGGAACGGCACCGAGAACACCCGCACGCCATGCTCCTTCCTCGAACTTTGCTCAGACTCGATATATTCAAGAGCCAGGTGATATAGACTGAGGCAGGTGCAGTCCGAATCGGCAGCACCGAATGAGTTGATCGTTCCAAAGCCAGGGAGAATACAGCAAATTGATCCATTGCTTCTTTGGCCTATCTCCGTCGTTGATCGGCCAAGATGTTCGCAAGAGCCCCATTCGCCGTCGTCACAATCACATCACGGATCATGCAGTACCAACTATGCCAGATCCTCAAAACAATAGCATCTGTTCAACACCGAGATAGGTACATCTACGGTCATTGAGGATACAGGCAAATCCCGCGATGCGGATCTGTGAGTCAAGTACGCGCACGATTGGGGCGTGATAGAAGATTAAAGTGAAGCGGACGGCATCTGGGGCTGATAGCGGAGGCGTTCATCTCGGAAGCATTCCGTTGCCCAACAGAGTTGATGCGCCCTGTAGGGCTGGCACTTGAAGGAATTTCCAGATATCATGGTCAGTGTGATGGACTAAGTCGGTTCACCCACATCCCGTGACAACTAGCCTGCGAGGCACGGCTGAGTGAAGAGCAGAAATTGAGTCAAACCCACTGCTCAACATTGATGTATCATCCATCTCTGCTTTGATGCTCCATAGCAACATGCTATATTCGCACCATGGTAACTCGCTGTGTTCTGGCAGAAAAATGGCGCGATAGTTGCAAAAGGACTTAATCCTGCATTCCGAGCGATTACATTCCGATTTGCTCGGCGGGCCATATCAGTATGTGCCAAGACTTGCGGTGGGTGTCTGGACAAGGCACATGATTCGACTTCCCGGAGCCATCCAGGATGGCAAATTTCGGGCAGCAATTATGCTCAATATCTCACGGAAATGCTCAACAAAAGTCAAACGACTGATCCTACCTATCTGTAGCTTGAGGTCGCTGGATCTCAGGCTGTAGCACTTAAGCTGAGGTCGTGGAAGTTGTTCAAGACAACTCCGCGCTTCCGGTTTCGCTCCTACGGCGAAACGATGGTGAGTATATGAACCGAGAACGAGGTAGACAATACCAAGTAGCAAAATCCGTGTGTCCAATTACCTGGGATCAGGTACGGACGAGTAGAACACTTCGGAAGCTCGGGATGACTCCGCGATGAAAGCGAGGGGTTGGGAAAATGCCTGCCGTTGCCAGCGCCTGAGGTTCCTGGCCTGGACCTTAAGCTTAATCGAGTGAACCGGGCTATCTCGGGGGTCTTGATCCATGGTCCGGTCAGCTCCCACGACGAGCACCATCGCTGGCGAGCAAGGCATCGAACCAGGAATCAGATTAGGGTTGGGTCGGCGGCTGGGCAACAGAAAGACAAGCAGCGCTTGCGCACACAAGGTTCATTCTGATGTTGGTATACCATTCAGAGGTGGACGTGAAAAGCGATCAAGTGCCGGTGTGGTGCCCGGATTCCTGTGCGTTGTTGCGCTGGTCGCAGCATTTCTTGGCGCGCGGGGCAGTGGTATGTTTAGTTCTGCGCTGCTGCAAAAAGGTTGCAATAGACATCATTGGCGGTGGGAGGGTGTTTGCCTGCTGAATCGTTTCACCAATAGTCCCAAAAGTTTTCAATGCCTTCTTTCTCGCCAGCCGCATGGAGCTTGAGACGTGAGCTTGTTGGCCTGCTTGCGATCGCTGCTCGCTCATATTGGTAACGGGACAGAAATGAACCATTTCGTCATTGTGGGTGGCAGGGGACGTGCTCCGACCCGATCACCTGGGGAGGCGGTAAATTCGACAACGGGTTGTGGGAAATGAGATTGGGTGTTCCGCACCGATGCTATCATCATGGCAGCATTGCAAGCGAGGTCGGGATGCCATTGAGTGCCACGCCCAAGCCCGTTGGATCGGCAGGTGCCTGTGATGAGGAACCGCGACCTTGTGCCTGTGGTACTGCAGACAGCGCCGGCCTCATTTGAACGTCAACCGGAGCCGTGGAGGGGTACTCGGAGGCCCGAGTCAGGGGAGGGCATGGGGCCCGAAATCGAGCATCTGGAACCTCTCGAGGCAGCGAGACGGAACGACAAGACGGTCAAGACGGTGGCCAGAGGGGGGGATCCATCGGGCGACAAATGCAGCAGAGCTTGGCTCAAACGCCCAGAAATCGAGAGTCTGGCTGGACGTATCCATACGGAGTCTGAGAGAGGATTCGAGGAATACGTGGAGATGTTGGGAGAGTGCCACAGTGCTGGGCAGAAGTCTTGGCCTTTGGAGGAGACGGCGTGCCCGAGAGAGGAGTGACCTTTGAAGCGGAGGCCTCTGGCGGAGACGCAGGAAGATCTTGCACGCTTCCTGGAGGGCCCAACCCCCGCTTTTCCTTTCCATCCGGTGGCTCTCTTGCGATCTTGGCGGAATGGTTGACCTTGAACCTTGGCGGAGAGTCGCAGACCTGTCCAGTGCGAGAATGTTGCACACCACCCACTGCAACCTGTGACCTGCGTCTGCATCCTGCTGCAGCGCTTTGTTCCGTTTTCGACAATGGCCTTCCTGAGGCCTATGGCCAATTCGCTGCACCTCCCCATCCCTTGCCTGGCTCGACATAGGAGCGGAAGGTTTCCAGCGAATGGCCTGTCTATCCTCGCTGACCCGGCGGCACAACCTCTGGTTTTGTGGATTGCAGGGTCCACCGATACATGACGAGAACGAAGAGCCTGAGGGGTCGTGGGGAAGAGATATACACCGCGCACCATGGTGAGAGACTCCGATAGACGGCCGGGTAAAGACCGACCTGCTGACATTTGCCGGTCCCCTCAGGCGTGGGCAGCGCAGCGGAACCGACGGAATTTCAAGTTTTCAGGAGTTGTGAGTGACGAGTAGCCAACTCTCTGCTACAAACCCAAAGAGCTCGTCAGTTGGTGTTTGATTGAAGGCGTAACAACTTGTGCCATCTGGGCCGGTACGTGACAAAGTGCTGAAATCATGGCGTTTGAGCCACAAAAGAAAAAGAAGAATATCAATCATTCTGTGGCAGGCAATGCAGCAGAGCCGGCCAGGCCCTCGTCAACAAAACGTTCTTCTTCTCCGCTTGGCAGGCATGTCTAAGACGTTGAGTAAAGGTGCTGATGATGGACACCACCCCGACCTCTTGCGCCTCTCTGGTGCCACACCCACAGCATCTAGTGTGCTAGTGTAGGTTATGTGCCTTGCTGACTCTCCACCGCTTTGTGAGGTGACAGTCACAGAGAGATTTGCAAGAAAGCATCGTGCTACGGGATAGGGTGTTATCGATTATCGTGGTATCACTAGGTAGTATCCGTGCTGGTGCGAATAACATGGTGTTTGGGCGTGGCGTGGTGTCTAGAGGAGCCGCAAGAGCCTGAATGGACGTCTTCAAGGGCGAGCAATCCAAGCGCATGCGCGATGGCTCTCGTGCTTGGCGGTGTTTCTTGGGCAAATTAACCGTATTTGTTGGTATCTGCAAGCGTATCCGAACTCTGAACTCCGTACGGATACACTGCGCCAGACAAACTTCGTATCGGGAACGATGGAAGAAGAGGTTCGCCGCGTGATAAACCCGAGGAACATTGAGCGCAATTTGGGTTGGTCCGCAAAAACGCCGTAACAAGTACTTTCTCAGTCTGTGGCGGCGAACCAAGTCGAAGCAACGGGGTTCGCAGCGGAGACATGGTTGACAACGGGCGGAAAAGAAGGGAATGCCTTCAATGGAAAGTCTGGAGGCGCGATATCGTCGTGTGCTCCGTAGTCCGTACTGCGTATCCATCGATCCATGATGCGTCGGTGGTTGTGCCACGGGTGCATGGCTCTGCCACACTGGGGCGGTGATCAGAGAGGCCTGGACAGAAAGCGATGCCGTTTGGGGCGGCGCTGGGTGGATGAGATCGAGGATGATTGGGCGGAGAGAGGTCTTGGAAGCACACGACCGGGACCATATCGATGCGGCCCACCCCTCCTCCATCCACCTCATGGGCCATGGGTATTGCTTCTGCAGAGGCGGGACATGGGCTTGATGGTGAGCGGATTTGATGACAGACCGGGATGGAGAGCGACCTGAAGCTTCTCCCGGATGTTGAGGGCAGTGCTTGGCCCTTGAGTAGGTGGATCGTGGAAGCTTTGTTGGAATTCGGGGGGACGGATATCGATCATGCTGAATGCTCGAGGCTGATCGAGTTGTGTCGGTGAGTATCCGTAAGGTATCTTAACGGGAACCGCGGAGCTCAGGATTGAGGAATTGAAGCCGAAAGATGGAAAAACAAGGTGCAAATTGACGGTGACAGCGGCAGAGAAGATCATACGCTCAGACGGCTGAAGCTTGCCAGGTACGTACCTGGAGTAGTGAACGGTCGAATGCCGGGTGTTCCTAGCCCCGGAAAGATACGTACTCCCGAGGATGCGTCCATCTGGTGATTGGGCGGCCGTCCCCTCAGTGCGGTTCGTTGAATTTTCCCGAAAGTCAGAGGTAAGGCGGGAAAGCAGGAACGATGGAAAGTTCAAAGTACTTGACGCTACAGATCACGCCGAAAAGATACTTGCCACAAGAGGCGGGTTTGGCTATCGAATCATGACGTCCCAATTCAGCCAGCCGCTTGGCGTTGCGGGGCTTGCGGTAACGCTAGTCCAATGACAACGGCCGTCTTTCCTCCTCCCCGCCGACTTCCTTCATTTCTTTCCAAGCTTCCTTCCACATTGCGTTTTGTTTCTTTGGTTTTGGGCAGTTGCATTGCTCGTTTCTTGCCATTCGAGACACCATGCCATGATAGTATACCTGGCACGTGCCTGACTACCTTAGGTATCTCACCTTAGGTCAGGTACCTCGTCGATGTATTTCCCTAAGAGAAGAATATTGGGAAAGAGAGAGAGATGGAGAGAAATGAAAAAGAGCAAGAGACAGCAAAAGAAAGGCCCCCCCCCCCTCCTTCCTCTTGGCATGTTGGCCCTCGTGGAAGCTTGGCATTTGTTCTTGGCGCTGTGTCTGGTGGAACCCGCTTTTATTTTCGATTGATGATTGGATCATCCACTTCTCGTCATTGAAGTCTGTGGCTCCAGGTTTTTTTCTCTTTCCCCGGCCACTTTTTTTGTGTTGCTGTTGGATGCCACCACGGCCACGATGCCATGCCCAGCACAACCCAATACGGATACTCGAAAGACAGTGAGCCTGTCTCTCCGTCTGTTGACGGCCGGCAGCGGTGTTCCGTTTCATCTTTTATGTATTACTGCACAGAAGGTACGGTACGGAGACACGCCTCAGTACCTAACCTGGTGACGGAACAAACAAGCAAAGCCTGGCCACCTCCAATTCGTCCATTCGCCCAAAGCATAGCGAGCCGCAGCCGTTTTTCTCTTCAGATCAGGTTTTTTCCTCGGCGCTTTTGCCTACCTACACAGTACTGCGCTCTGTACCATGTCTATCCATCCATTTGCCTATTCAGTACCTCAAGATGGATTAGCTTCGTTCCTGTCTGTTCCTCTTCGCATCTGCCTCCATCCTAACCTCTACCAACCTTACTACGGAATATGTACTTGTACGGATAGTGTATCTCGAATCCTTGACGGCAAGGTCCTGGTTCTTGGTCCATGATCCATCCATCTTCCTTCGCCCTCCAATCCCAAGCCGTGCTCCCAATTTCCTATTACCCATTGACCACTTCCCCATCACATCCATCATCATCCCCATCCCCCATCCCCATTCCATCCGCCCACACACCCATTCATTTGCCGGCCTTTTCCCAGATCAGATCAACAAGAGGAACACAGTCTTACTGGGACACAGGATTGACAGGAAACCTGCCGATACTCTCCGCTCCCTCCCACCACCCGGCACTACCTTACTGTGGTAGAGTCCTAGACCAGGAGCAAACCACTCGCAGACGACCAGACGTCAACTGTCGTCCCAAAGAACGGGCCCTTGCAAACTCAACTCATCTCACCACCCGTCAACATCAAAGTCTCTAGACACAGACAGGAAAGGCAGATCCTGAACAGACGAAAAGCCACAGCGCCCCCGACCACCGGTGCCAACCTTCTTTCAAGCTCCAGCGACCAACAATCAGCTCTTCACTCACACTCTCTCTCTATCTCTCTCTCACACACACACACCTACCCGAACAGTAGTGGACGCCAGAGATTCCCAAGCACCAAGGTCCCCCAGCCTGCCAGCCAGCTAGCGAACCAGCCAAATTCCCTCTGATCGGACCGGGACCCCCCTCCCCCTCCTACCGTCTAGGTACACTAGTTCTACGGAGTACGCAGTGTGTACCAGGCTCCCCTCCCCTCCATCCACACCCCCCGAGCAGTTGACCGTCCCAAAAAGACGTTACTGTTGCATTGGAGGAACGGAACGAAGGGAAAAAACATTTGCTCAGTGCGCTCAGCCCTTAGCCTCCGCCATTCCACCCTTTGTGACGTCGATTGGCGAAAGAAACACCACCGCTACTAGGTACCCAGCAAGCAGCACCTCACCGAGCACCTTCAATACCACCACCACCACCAACACCCACCGCCAGCTTCACCTTACCGCCAGCTCAAACCTACCTTTTCCCTCTCGACAACCTCACGACCTCTGGCAACTGTTGCTGCCAACTACAAAACCTCGAGACCGACAGGCTCCAACCTTCTTTCAGCGAAAACATACTTCCACGCGCCCAACATAGGTCCTCATACACCACCACTTGCGCCGCCCCCAATATCGACCCATCCCGAAGATCATACTGTTCGCGACGAAAACGACGACAACCTTGGTTCGAGTCTAGCCACAAACAACGACCGCTCTCCCCATTTCACCACCACGACGTCGTCGCCACCACCCCGCGACCCCTCCCCGTCGAGGGACGACGTCGCGACCGAGGATCCGGTCGACCCCAATTCGATTCCGCTCACCAACCTCCAGACTGTTGTCTCCGATCCGCCATCACGACGGCCCGACAACGCCCCGTCTCCTCGTGAGGCACCGGGTCAGCCGACGAGGACCCAGTCTCCCGAACCTGAACCCAAGGGGTCTAAACCCCTCGCATCCTCGCCCATGTCTTTTTTGACCAAGAACATTTGGCCCAACGATGGGAGGAACCGCTCCCATGTTCCGGCCATGCCGGTTTGGATCGCAGGCCTCAGGATTGCACAGCTTGTAAGGGCACTACTCCTGGCCCCAACTACATTAAAGGGAAACCGGAGTACGCGAAATGACTTGGACGAACATCACGTTGACGGTTTTGAAATCTTAGGTCCTCGCCATTGCGACGTTGGGAATAACAGTCTTTGGACTCACCACTATGCAGAAAGCCACGGGCTATCGCAGGATAACGGTATGTTCGGGAATTTCTTGGCCTCTGATCTGGCCTCTGCTTGGATCCCGCCCTTCTGGTTCACTTTTACTGACTGTTTGCGTTTTACGATGCAGTCCTTTAGCGGTACAGAGGGTTTCCGTACGTAACACCACCATTCCCGCCTCTACCTACTCTTGTGTGCCAATACTAATGTTGCGCATAGCATTTTCATGGTTTGCTTTCGCCTGGACCTTCTCCTATTTGACATGGCTTGGCGTAGCCGTCATGTTTATTCCCGTCATGTACAACTGCTGGGTGCATCTGTAAGGTAACCCCCCGCAAACTGGGAGAAGCGCCCCGACTAACATTGTGCGCAGCGGCCTCGAGCTACTCACTGTCGTCTTCTGGTTGATTACTATGGCTCTGCTTGCTAGTCACGCAGATGATCTTGATTCCCTCGATGCCTTCATCGTAACGTTCGGTCCCAAGTACGAAGTGTATTATAAGATGAACGTTGAGCC